AATCTCCCCAAAACCCCAAAACCCCAAAACCCCTTTTTAAATTATTCAAATTGAATTTAGAATAGAGGATTCTCAAGGTATTCACAGATTTGCTCAGTCACTTGTTCTGGTGTATACTCTTCCGTGTTAAATTTTAAAGCGAGGTCTTGATAATTTTCTTGTACCTTTATCTGAAACTGGTTCCATATGTTCCATCTTTTTTCAACCTTATCTTTGTTCATGTCTGGGAATAGAGGTTTTAGTCTTTCTCTTATTTCAGGATCAACCGAAGGGTTTAATTCAGTGTTGTAGAACTGTCCAGTTACTGGATCATATTGCCTATTTACAATTCTAGTTACGCAAATCTCTTTATCGCACTCAAGAATTATAACCCTGGTTGGTTTAATTTTTATCGCTTTCAAGACTGTAATTTGCTGAATGGTTTTTGGAAATCCATCCAAGATCCATCCATTTTGAATACAATCATCCTTCTTGATCCTATTTTCAACTAGTGAGCAAATAATCTCATCTGGGACAAGTTTATTGTTTTTAAAGCAATCATTGATTCTTTTTCCTTTCTCTGTTCCAAGCCTAATCTCATTTTGGAGCAAATTACTTGTGCTCACATGAACAAGCTTATATTTTTCTGCTATTTTTTCTGCTTGGGTTGACCTCCCACTGCCAGGAGCTCCAATAACAATAACTCTAAGTTTTCTATGAGGACTTGTTCTTTTCATTAGAATTAGAGAAGAAATTTGATCCACAAAATTAGACGCCTTGTTTTGGTCGTCAGAGTAACCTTTTACATATCCATGAGCATCAATGATGTGGATTACATTTTTGAACATCTGCTCCACATCTTTTATTTGAAGGTGATATTCTTGCATGATTCTTTGAGCGATATCTTTCATTTCTTCTTCCTGAATTTTATCTGAATGTTTCTCTTTAATTCCATTCATAATATGCTCTAATGCAACCTCGTCTGAGTATTTTAGAAGGAAGATTTTGTCTGGGATTATCTTATTTTTACCGAGTGCTAGGCCTTGGCTTTTGGTCTTAGGAAAGCCCTCAAGGATCCAACTTTCATGACCAAATTCTTTAGCATTTTTGGAGAAAACTTTGATAGAGTTGTCGTCTGAAATGAATCCTTCCTTCACCTTTTCATTATTTCGAAGAACAATGTCATCGAAAAGATGGTGATTATTGACATCTTCATCTGAATCATCCTCCAATGCCTCCTTTTTGTACCTTTCAAGGTTAGCTTCCAGTTCAAGAATATGTGTCTTTGGAGGTGGTGGAGATTCCTAGACATATTGATCAATCTAGCTTACTTGTTTAGGTTTCTCTTCTTCGTCGTGAGTTTCCTTGTCATCTTTTGCATCTTTTTCTTGGTCATCTTTGCTTTCAGCTTCTTCATTTTTACTGTCTTTTTCATCTTCATTCTCATCTCCACTTTTATGATCGTCAGCTTTTGATTGAGATTCTTCTTTTTGGCTCTTATCATCCTTTTTCTCCTTTTTAGGATCTTCTTTAATGTCTTCATCCTTAGTTTCTTCTTTCGGAGGATCTTCTTTGGAAGAATTTTCTTTAGAAGGCTCTTTCTTAGAAGGTTCCTTCTTAGAAGGCTCTTCCTTAGGAGGCTCTTCCTTAGAAGGCTCTTCCTTGATCTCTTCAGACTTCTTCTTTTCCTTCTTGACTTTAGGAGGTCTTGGCTGAGGAAGTTGAGCAGCTTCAGATTTACGGATCTCATCGATATCTCTCTCAATCCAGTCAGACATGTTGAGATATTTCCATCCGATCTTACCTGCTATAAGTCTTCCAAGGCCCAGCTGACTGAAACCTGGCGGACCGACAATAACGCATCGCTTAGTCTCTGTCTTGCTGATTCTTTCAATGAGGAAGTCAATTGGATTCTTTGGTTTGTTAACTATGATTTCCTTCATGAGTTCATAGAAATAATCGTAGACATTATATTCTTCAAGGTAATCGTCAATGCCTTCAGTGTATTCCTGTTTTTGATTCAAGTCCATTTTCTAATAAGCTTTATTGAATGCAATTTAAATTTTTAAAAAGGGGTTTTGGGGTTTTGGGGTTTTGGGGTTTTGGGG